ATATACTAGAAACTGTTATGCACAAATCTTTAACTGTTATTGCAATTAGGAATTAAATAGACAACAAAGAGAGCATTTCTAGTACAAATGTAGACATGTCATGTTGTTGGGAAATACATACAGTCAAACCTGTAATAACGACCACCCCTGTATAGAGACCACTCGTCCATTACGACCACTTTTTGTTGGTCCCTTGAATTTTTCCCATGGACTCAAGCGTTAAGAAATCTTGCATTGCGTCTACCTGTCTAACGCGTCCAGCGTCCACATGTTTTCGGTCCCGAGACGGCCAAAATGCCAATCCCACCGTCTGAGTCCAGCCGTGAGTACATTGCCAAATGTTGGCCAAGAAAATCCAACCGGTACCGGGTAATAAAGAATATGGGCATGATGTGGCAGCGTTTTTTTTTTTTGCTAGCGTTCGTATCATAAAAGTAAACAAAATTTCGAAGTGCCGATTACTCAAAAATGGCCCCTAAAAATCCCAGCGAACCATCCCAGCATTTCGTAACTTGGCGTCGATTACGACAACTTTTCTTTTGGGAAAAATCCACTAAAATTAGAAAATAATGCTTCTCTATCAACCAGATAGGGCTCCAGGTATTTTCTGGGCGATATTACCCGGGATTTTGTCGTAAAAATGAGCCAAAAGAAAGCCGAGAAATATCCAACATGGCGTCGCCAGCATGCATGAAGGAGAGGTCATTTGGGGTTAACGGAAGGTCTCATTTTTTACGGGGAAGACTGTGTAATATTTTACCCGATTTCTTGATTTTATTGCGGTAAATCGACATCGACAAATACAATACGGTAGCTAAAAATCTTAAATATTAAATGACTTGCTTAGTTTATTAGAATTTGTTCTAATTTAGAGCTTTGAGGAGTTCGTATTTTGATGAGCACCACCCATGACAATGGAACATTCAGACACAATTATGCACGCGGCGATCGCGAAAACCGGCCCGAAAATGTCAAGTTTCTCGCTACAATATGCGTTTATAAACGTCTTTACGTCGAAGATTTGCCGATTTTTTTCACGGGTAGTCGAAAAAAATTACTGATTTTAAAAAAATTAGTAAACGTACCGTGCAAAATAAGAACGTACCGGGTGGACGTTCGGGCCCAAAAAATCGGCAGATGAGATGAGAGTAACAAGAATTAATTTTTTTTTTTTCATTTTGCGATTTTTTGAAGCGGCGATTCCGAGAACCAACAAATTAAATTGGTGTGGCCTTATGAAGAATTATGGACAATAAAGTATATGCAAAGAGGCAGACTTAGGGATTTCACGTTCCCTCTATTTTGAGGATCAAAACTTTTGTCTTTTTTTGTGTACAAAACTGTATCAAGCTCACCAGGGCTACAACTATTCTGAAACTAAAAAGTGAAGAGCATCTTTAATGTCTTTGATATACATTATTTCAGCAATATCCTTTTTTTGTTTTCTTTTCTTTTGCTTTGGTGGACTGAATTCAATCAAG